TTTTCAAGATCAGGAGTCACATAAAGTAATGGAAGTGAGCATTTATTAGGACATTTTTAGTTGTAAAATATGGTTACTCTTGACAGGAAAGTTTTAAGTGTCCGTCTCTTGTCATCTGAACAAGTCATCCTGCTTTTCTGTGGTATTTTGTTTCCATCTTTTGCAATCATGAATCTTCTTGAACTGTGAGGCAAATATGGCTTTATAGCTGAAGTCAGAATGTTCCAGAGACTGGACAACATGAGACCAAATGAATGAATGAAAAGTGGGCATCGCTTTACAAAATGTAATAGAAGTTGGTAAAGAAATGTGTGTTTTATGATATTATTGATCACATTCCTTTACCAACTTTTATATCAAATATAACAACTCACATTTGTACTTGAAAATATGATTCTTAAAAAGCATTGTAGTACTAACTTTGATAATTGTCTGAACCACTGACAAGTGGGAGCTATTTCTTCAACTAGTTATTACCAGAGCTGCATGGAAGACTGTATTTCACACAGCTGCCTGTATTAAGTGTTGCTTTTGGTCCTTGTTTGAAGTTATGAACACCAAATTCACACAAATTAAAGCAAAAAATAAAAAGTGATATAGTAATATAGTACAGAGTAAAGTGCATAATATAAAATACTATATGTTAACTTAAATCAAATGTCTGTGTATGTCTGTGTATGTTTTATATAATCATTATTCTTGTTATTTAAAATACTACTACAATGAAAACTTAGCAATTTGTATTAATGTTGGATCCTGCAAGAAGCAGAGCATCTCTTAGGGAATGAAGTCAATAGTGTGCTCTCTAAGGTTATGTCTACACTACAAAGTTAGTTCGAACTAACGGACGTTAGTTCGAACTAACTTTCATAGGCGCTACACTAGCGCTCCGTTAGTTCGAATTTAATTCGAACTAACGGAGCGCTTAGTTCGAACTAGGTAATCCTCATTCCACGAGGATTAAGCCTAGTTCGAACTTACTAGTTCGAATTAAGGGCTGTGTAGACCCTTAATACGAACTAGTGGGAGGCTAGCCCTTCCCAGGTTCCCCCTGGTGGCCTCTCTGGGCACAACCAGGAAAACTCTTCTCCTCTCCCCCAGCCCCGGGCCCTTAAAGGGGTAGACTCTGGCCAGATGGCACTTGAGACAGCCAGCCCTGCCAGCAGTCTCTGCCCCTGCCCCAGTGGCCCCACCATAAGCCAGGCAGCCAGTGGCAGCGAGCCGTCCCCTGCCCAGTCCCCCAGCACCCAAGGGCCAGCCAGGGGCCGTAGACGGCGCTGGACTAGTGCGGAGGTCATGGACCTCATTGAGGTTTGGGGGCAGGCCCCCAATCTCCATGATCTCCAATCTCACTAGGAGGAGGAACACGGCCGTCTATGGCTGCATAGCAACTGCCATGGCCCGAAAGGGACACAGGCACTCCCGGGAGCAGGTGCACATTAAAGTGAAGCAGCTGCGGCAGGGGTACGCCAGGGCCACCAGGGGCGGCGCCGCTGCAGGGGCTGACACCTGTCCCTACTTCCCTGCCCTCCACTAACTCTTGGGGGGCAGGGCGGTCCGCACCATCCCAGGAGGAAGTGAGCCGGGACCAAAGGGCCCTGACCCGGGCACACCAGAGGGGCCACCGCAGGATGTCCCAGCGTCCAGGGAGACCGTACCGGGTAAGTAGTTCGAATTAAGTAGTTCGGGGGGAGAGGCAGGAGGGAGACCAGAGACCACACACGTGGGCCATGCCTTCCACGGATCACGCAGACACCTGTGCACGTGCGAGCAC